TAAACTGAGTACTATAGAATCTGTCCTTTTCTTCTGGTGGACTGATTAGAGTTTATTAAGTGGGTGACATACTACTTGGAATGATAGATAGAGAGAGAGGTATATACACACATATACATATACATATATTTATATATATATATGAAGTTGGGACAAAGGTAGGTAATGGTTGCTCCTCCTACTGATGAATACGAGTACCTTTACTCTAGTAAAGCTAGGATTTAGAGGATTTGAGATCATATATTTAGGCAGAACTGTATTTCATGTTATCTCTATCTCTGCTTCCTTCACACAAAAGCCCTACTGTGTCCCATGGTTCTCCATACCCACACTTAAAGTTAAAATCTCCCAGGTGAATTTTTTTAACAGTGCCATTCTTAGGCCTCAAATTAAACATATATACTGTCTACTACTCATACCAAAGATGGAGACTGGAAATTAGAATCATTCTTTAATTCCCTCATGAATGCCTTAAGACTCCCTTTCCCTTTTTTCAAACTTACTCATTTTGTGATTTTCCCCCAGGTTTCCTTAGTATTATAGTACCTTTATCTCATCAGTGTTATGCCCTGTATATTTATTTTCTCGACTGTTGCTTATTTATCGCCCTTTGCTTTCTGTCAATTCTTCATAACTTCTGGTATGCTAGTAGCATTTTTCTTTCTTTTTGGTAATCTTTCTCTTAAAAAAAAAAAAAGCATTTTCTGGGTCTGGGAAGGTGGTAGAATGCTTGTCTTAAATGCATGAGGCCCTGGGCTCAATCCTCAGCCCCACATAAGCAGAAAAAGCCGGAAGTGGTGCTATGGCTCAAGTGGCAGAGCGCTAGCCTTGAGCAAAAGAGCTGAGACCCAGAGTTCAGGTCCCATGACTGACCAAAAAAAAAAAAAAGCATTTTCTGTAGTTTTAATGGACAAAAGGAAGGGTAGATGCAAGTGGCACACTCATTAAGCTAACTTAAGCCAAATCATATTATTTTTAATACTGGTTAAAACATTCTTATATTCTAAGCAAGAATGGAGGTCTATTCATGCACTCTGTTGACTTTTGGAGAAATATGTGTACATATAATTGTAATTTAATGTAATCAAGGAATAAAGTTAACAACCAGTTAAAATGAAAACAAAGAGAGAACATCAATTCTTATAAGTACTCACACAAATATAAGTATAGATAATGCTCTATCTACCTGAATAACTACAATAATATGAGTTAATCTTGGTTTTTTATTCTAATAAAAGAATATCTGAAAGGCTTACATTCCACGTTCTCAGAATTTTTGAAGGCTTCTTATTAAATATTCTATTATTGCTTATAATTTTATGTATTAATTTATATAATGTACTTTAAGAAAAAAATTCAACGTCAGCCATTCCTCCTTTCTTTTTATTGAACTTTACTATTATAGCACACATCACTAAGTAAAAAGTGCTACTTACTATGCAAAAGGCACAGTCAGTGATTGGCACCTAAGACCAATTGATCTGCCCATTACCACTATCTCCCTACCCCCACTAGTGCTACTATGAAGCTATTGATTTAAACACCGTCGATCGGTTTCCATTTTCTGATTTTGGGCAGGCCAATTAAGAAAGTGAGTAATTGTGATTACACTGCTTCAGGATCAATTACACTTGATGCAAGACAAAGTGCTCTTTTCAGAATACACAAAAATAATTTTTGATCTAGGATGCTTTTATGTTTACTAAAATCTAAAATAAGTAACTCATTTATATCTTCATAGTAGAAAAATATATTGATATAGGTGTTTATAATATCTAAGACTATTTTATTAGAAGTAAATTTATAATTTTTCTAAAATTAGAGATACTGAAAATTGTTCACAGTATTTCCCAACATAAAATATGAACTAAGTATTATCAGAATATTCATCTTTAAAGGAATTTGGTTAATTTTGGAAGACAAATCCTGTCTGGCAGACGACAAAAGAAGTCTTGCAATTAAACAAAAACTTGAAAAATAAGAACATGCTTGGTTATACAGAATGAAAAGGCTATTTATATGAATTGATAACATAAAGGTATTTTTTAGTTTTAATTCTGATCTAACATAGTACATGAGCTTTGTCATTGAGCTCACATTGACCACATCATGAAAATGAATATACCTCTGGTGTTGGAGGCAAATCTATTTAGAGTGATGTTACTCATAGTCTGGTGTTCAGTAATATTGATCGGTGTTGTTTGTCTAATAGAAAAATAATAAACAATTACTAAGCAATGTTGGGAAAAGTAATCAGTTTTTATATATCACTAATACAGCAGACCTCCCAAAACATAAAGGTGATGATCTGCATAAAATCAATGTGTTATGCTACATTGCTTATATTCATCACTGCAGGTTCTTGGTAATAAAAGGTATAACATTAGGCTTGAATTACTGCTAAGCTGAAGAGGTATCTGGAAAAAAGGGCTCTAGTATTTAATTTAGAAATTTATTTAAACATGTCTTTTTCTTTTTTTTAAATATATTTTTTATTGTAAAGATACTCTACAGAGAAGTTACAGTTACATGAGCAAGTCAATGAGTACATTTCCTATCCAGCATTGTTACACCCTCCTTTATAATTCCCCAACCATCCCTCTCCTTCCCAACCTCCCATCTCCCCCTCCCAAAGTTGTAAAGTTCATTTTCAACATACCTCTTGTACAACTCATTGTTACAATGGGGCATCCTGTATCCTTATTTCAGCCATTTTGTTATTTCCCTTCCCTTCCCCAAATTAGAAAAATGTGTATACAAGATTCAGGGCACCACAATCAAATACAGTAACAACAGGGGTTGTACCATGGGGGAAGAACACACAAAAGAAATAAAAAAAAATCACATAGTACATTATAAGTACATTAAAAAGAACAGCAACAAAGATAAAACCTCTTTTGTCCCTATCTTGGAGTTCATTTCACTTAGAATCAGGTTATATGGTCATATGTACATAACTTTTGAAAAATGTGTTTTTCTTAAACTTGGATATTGTAAATCATTACAAATTCTGTTCTGGTTAAAATTCAGGTAAGTAGGGGGAGGATTGGGTGGGGGGGGAGGAGGCTGGGAAGGGATGTGAAGGGTAAACAAAGGAGGAGGC